CCATGCGGAAGATAAATATGATATGTCAAAATGACATCCCCAGCCTTCACACTAGAGACCAGAAGTCCCCGGCTGTGCCCAGCTATCCCTATTGGCTGACCGCTCTGAAAGGGATCTCAGCAGAAGGTCCAGGACAACGTGAAAGAAAAATACACAACTCAAAATTATACAAAAGGCCCAGCTCACTAGTCTGACAGACTGGTGGAACCCCACTAAGGCCATTAGATACCCTTGAAACCTGGGAGTGAACACCCCGCAAAGAAACAACAGACAGACCTCTGATGAAAACAATGACACACAAGGGACATGCACCTCAGAACAATGAAGCGAGCGAGACCAGAAGGGCAGCCCCATTCCCAAAACACGGTGCTGGGGAGGCAAGACAGGACGACTGGAACGGGCACCCAGGGAAGAAGTGGGACAAGCTGTTACACTGAAGGACTGCAGCCGACTAAAGGAACAAACGTGTGTGAGTGACTGACTGGGATGTTGACATGCTCCGTGAACTCTCCCCAAGCCACTGTAAAGTGTGGGAAACCCTGGCGTGGCCCGAAGCTGGGGTCCCAGAGCAGCCTTTCCCCCACTCCACCTGACGCAGGGCAGACCCCACACCCTACGTCAGCAGCATGCTCAGGAACCCACTTGCATTGTCTTGGACTGGTTTCTCTATATTATTTTGACTTAATTTGGGTCCCTACCCTCTGGTAGTGTAGTGGTTACAAATTGGGCTGCAGGCCGCAAGGTCAGCAGTTCGAAACTACCAGCTGTTGCGTGAGAGAAAGATGTGGCTTTCTGCTCCCATAAAGATTTACAGCCTCGGAAACCCTGTACAGGGTCGCTACGAGTCGGAACTGACTCCACGACACATAACAACAACAACCCTGTGTTTAAGGAGCCATGGTGGTGCCGTGGGTTAAGCATCGTACTGCTGATCTCCGGGTCAGCAGTTGAAGCCACCAGCTGCTCCGAGGAAGGAAGATGAGGCTGTCCTACAGGGGGGCTATGAGTTGACATCAACCCCACAGCAGTGGGTTTGCTTTGGTCATCCCTGTCTACAATCCTGCTGTGACCAATGCGTTATCACACTCGTAAACAAAGCATGAAAGATCAACTTTATGAAGAACAAACTACGCACAGATGTTTGCTCTGAGTCAGCTGGGTTTCATGGGTACACTGTTGTTGTTGTCAGGTGCCACTGAGTCAGAACCGACTCATAGCGACCCCATGCACAGCAGAACGAAACAATGTCCGATCCTGGGCCAACCTCACTACCGCTGCCACACTTGAGTCCATCAGTGATGCCACCTGGCTGATCCATCTCGTTGGGGGTCTTCCTCTTTTTCTCTGACCCTCCACCTTACCCAGCATGACATTCTTCTCCAGCGACTGTTCCCTCCTGACAATATGTCCAAAGTATGAGAGACGAAGCTTAGCCATCCTGGCCTCCAAGAAGCACTCTGGCTGCACTTCTTCCAAAACAGATCTATTGGTTCTTTTGGCAGTCCATGGTACTTTCAGAATTCTCCTCCAACACCACAACTCAAAGGCATCAATTCTTCTACGACCTTCCTTATTCACTGTCCACTGCTGTGGGTACACTGTAGTGCTCCCTAATCTTACTCCAGAGAGTGCAGCACCTCCCGTAGAACATTCCAGAATGCTCCCTTCCTGCAGCCGGTGATCCCCCACAAGGAAATGCTTCTCCTGCCCGTGTGGCACATCACAGCTACCGACCGTACCGGGCACAGGGCTCGGCAATGTTTATAAGCCTGACCCCAGTCACCCACCTCAAGTCCAGTGCTCCCAGTGAAAGCACAGAAGGGTCTGCAGGTGTGGCTACTCAAGTTTGGTAAGAATGACGGAATCTGTTCTCAGCATTTTAACCCTAACTATCTGACCAAATCCCTCAATTAACTGACAAGATCCCATCCTCGATTCATTCCCCTCATTTGTCCTTCAGCTTCGTCACACACGCTGTCATCAACAAGTCCCAGTGATACAAAGGTTGGCGGTTTGAAGCCACGAGCCACTCCATGATGAAGACCGAGCAATCTGATCCTGTAAAGGTTTCAGCCTAGGAAACCCGCGGGACAGTTCTCCTGGGGCACAGGGGTCACTAGGAGTCAGAGTCTACTTGACGGTACCACCGCCACCAAGGTCTGAATAGTAACAACCTCAGTCCTCTGGAGACCAGCACTGGGACGCCCATTTCCTGCTCCCGGCTGAGTGACCGGGGTCGATGTCTCTTCACAGCGTTGATGGCAAGGCAGCCGGAAAAGCCCAAGCAAAGCGAGGGCAGGACGACACGCTACCTAGGCCAAGGGACTCTCGATTGGCTCTAAAGGGCCACATCCACTCAGGCAAATGGTTGGGTATTTTTCCGAAACTGTAATTTTGAAATTCATGGGCCTCGAAAATTCCAGGTACTTCACTGCTTTTTAAAGAGGATGAGAGTGAACTGTCTGCTTGCGACTCAGCTCTTCCAGAGACAGAAGGGAGCGTGTACAAGTGAAGACAGCCCTCTGCCCTCCCGCTCTGCTGGCGTTATCGGACATTACTGGGCGCTCTCTGACGATGTCTGAGGCCCACTTAGCATTCTCTGCAGCTGAGCCTGTGGGTTCCCAGGCGAGGGGAGGACACGAGCAGGAGAGCAGCTCGCCCAGCCACCAACGCCTCATCCATCTCCAGGAATGCTCTAGAAGATGCCAGTGCTGGTGGATAGCAAATCCGATACCAGAGGCGTGACTGGATTGGCTGCTTCCCCAACACTTACATATACAGCAGTCACTTGATGACTCCATCTGTCTACACATAATCGCCCCAAACCTGGCAGCCAGCAACTAGTAGGGCGCCTGACAGATTCTTCCACAGCACTGAGGCTGTTCAGGAGTCGGTGAGACGGATGGATTATAGCACGGTGTCTCCTAATGGAAAGATAAAACACAACAGCCGCCTTCTGCAAACAGAGTCCAAGTCAGAATGAAGGTTCTCTAATTTGCCCCCATCTCAAAGTCAACTTGGACAGAAACGCTTCGTTTCAAATGTGGCAACAAGACTTGGGCTCAAACTCCCTGCTACGTACGGCTCCTCTTCCCAGACTGGACCACTCAGATGAAAAGAAAACAGCCTTCTTTCTTCTTGGGGAGGACTGAGTAAGCTCCATCCACAGTTTATTACCTTTTTGAAAGTTCATTTTAAATGTCAGTTGGTTGCTTCCTCAACTGAAACCTACATCCTATTAATCACATTACATTGTGCGCACAGCCTTGGAGTCCGTTCTGCCTCATAGCAACCCTGCCTAGGGTTTCCGAGGCTATAAACCTCTACAGGAGCAGAAAGCCTCATCTTTCTCCCATGGAGCGGCTGGTGGATTTGAACTGCCGACTTAGTGGTTACCGGCCCAGTGTTTCTCCTACAGCACCATCAGAGCTCCCTCATATTACTCTGTAGCTACTGTTGATATGTTCTATCGAGTCTGTCCCAATTCACCGCAACCCTGCACAGGCTTTCCAAGGCTCTATCTCTTTGCAGGGGCAGAAAGTCTCATCTTTCTCCCACGGAGTGACTGGGGGGCTCGAACCACTGATTCTGTGGTTTGCAGTTCAGCGCTGATCCTACAGAATCACTGGGCTCTTTCCATTTACACTGCTGCTGCTTTTTGTGAAGTGCCGCTGACTTGGTTCCAACTCACAACGACCCTGTACAGGGTTTCCAAGGAACGACTGCTGGTGGGTTTGAACTGCCAACCTTGCTGTTAGCAGTCCAGTGCTGACCCTACAGCCCCACACCAGGAGTCCTCATGTTACATCAGGAAACAAAGAAAGAAAGATTAACATTTTGGTTTTGATGATAACCCCTGGCCCCCTTCTCCTAAGTATGAAGTTTTTTGCTCCTTAGCTGGAGAAGTTCCAACCACACAAGCATCAGACCCAATGAACGTCATGGACTGAACTGTGAACCCCAAGGGCATCAGCTGGGCTGGGTCAGGACTCTCCACATTAAGAAATTCTTCTCCACTTTGTGGTCTGATGTCATTGCACTGAGCACTGTGAATCTCACCTCTGCATGTAATGAGGAAGGACGCAATCCATGGGAAAACGACACAAGAGATGAAAGGAGCAGAGCTCAGAGGATCGCAGAGCTGGAGCAGAAGGCAACCTGTGGGCCTGGGTTCCTGCACTGGGAACCTTCTAGAACCAGGGTACACAGAAAAGAGGCCTTCCCTGAGAGCCGGCGCTCTGAACGTGGGCTTGTAACCTCCAACACTGCGAGGGAACGCATTTCTATTCGTCAAACCCACCCCCCACCCCGTGTTCCTGTCACCACAGCACAATGAGTAACGGGACATACGTGGCTACTTACTCAAACTTCACTTCGAAAACACACAGCAGCTGCTCTCTATCTCTGCAGTTACTGCTGACGGGATTGTCACTCCAGCCCCACACAACCCACCTTGCCCGGTCCCCATGGATGCTTACCACCCAGAGATAAGAAACTGACCAGACAGGGGTCTATAACCAGAAAAGTTACCACAGCCCTCAGCTGAGAGCATCCAGGACCAGATTGTTGTTGTGAAGTGTTGTCGAGTGATTTCCAACCCATAGCGCCCCTGTATAGGGTTTCCAAGGAGTGGCTGGTGACCTTGAACCACCGACCTTGTGGTTCAAAAGACTTTGCAGTCCAGCGCATTAGCCCACAGTGCCACGCCAGGACTCCCAAGACCAGGTTACACCGGCGAACACCGGTCTCCAGGGATGAAGGACGCTGCACTCACTTGAGTGGGGTCTCACCACACAGTAGAAGAAAGTAAGACTATAAAGTCAGAGGCACAAAGTCACAAGTTAGACGTCACAGAATGCCCCGAAGGTTGGCAGAGCTCTCTGGACAACAAGGTGGGGGCTGCTCAGTACTGTCGTCAAGGCTCAGTGACTCTTTAGAGCAAACATCCACAATCTCTCTGCACCTTGGAGACAAAGGGCAGGAGCAGCTCAGGGGCTCACCTTCAGAGTTCAGGGTGATCAGGGTGACGTTGCTGCCGATGCTCTGACCCCCCGACTGCCCGCAGTTGGACACGGAATCGCTGGCCTCCGACCCGCTCTCCCCATCCTCGTGGTTGTCCTCTTGCCCAGGTACCTTCACCACAATGGTGTTTTGCCGACGGCCAGGCACTGCGCTGGAAGGGGAACAGAAGGCCGACCCGTACAGTGAGAGTAGCCAGACCACACCCACACCTGACCCCTCCTCCCCCTGCTCAGCGCAGCACACCCGGGCTACGTATGCGCTCACTGCAGATATGGTCCAGGGTGGGAAGAGACCATGTAACACTTCAGAGTTGTGAAAACACCAAGTCCCTCCAACCCCCCCACCCCAGGAACATGCGGGCAGCCCCTGGTGGGGTCGGCATCGTGGCTACTGACTTGCTGATGATATTTTCCAGGGAATCCGGTGCCCTGTTGCTCAAGGGGTCATCCATCTTGGCTACAATAGCGTTCTGCCGGTCATTGTTGAGTATGACTGTAGTCTGAGGGACAACACTAAAGAACGAAGAAAAAGACTTAACACCATAGTCACTCAACACAGTCAGCGTCCAGGGGCCCAGTGATGGAGGGTGGACACAGTGGACGTGGGTCCAGGACGAGGTGGCAGGGGACAGGGAAACCAGGAATGTCTACACACTGCCACATAACTGCAGAGACCATGAGCGGCTACTGCGCACAGGTAAGGTCTCAGGTCCTACGTCTCACGTCTGCCCGAGACTATCACGCCTTCCATCCCCTCCACTTCCTACAACCAAATTTAGGCTCTCCCATCCACTGTCTGTCACCATCCTTCCCGGATGTCAGTGCTTTGGAAAGAAGGGCAAACACTAGGAGGGGCTGCTGGTTCAAGTGGAGGGTGGAGACCACCTCCAGACCACAGGACCACAGACGGGGCACAACCAGGGGTCCAAGGTCTGTGCTCGGAACCACCATCAGCCTAGCAGCTGGACCCTACTCCAGGAATCCTCAAGCCCTACCAGGCAGGCCCTCAGGGACTGGAACACACATGGATTCATAGGAACTGATGCACCTTCAGCCCCAGACATACTGCCGTGCCCAGTTTTCCGTCCTTTTTTACCCTCAGCGCCATAAATGTTGCTGTAAAGTGGCAGGAAGGGAAAACTGCCCTGGAGACGCATGAGTTATGGAGAGGGCATGGCTCTGAGAGTCCACCCCGGACACCAAACTGGGGTCTGGGGTAGGCAGGTGGGTTATAAAGATGATCTCACGTCCCCAGCACACGTAGAACCTGATCCAGCCCCATGCCACGCCAATGCCAACCACCAGCACCCCAGATCGGGAGAAAACCAGCTACGTTTCAGGCCCAAGGCAAGTCTCAAGATGGCAGGGTGCTTTTCTACAGAGAAGGAGCACTTCACTGTTCCAAGCATAAATCTACTCTCCCCTGCTCTTGGTGGCACCTAACGTAAGCCTCCAACCCTACGACCCGCTGCCACGCCGGGCATCAACTTGGTTCCTGGAACTGCTGGCATCTCTGACAGCTCCCAGGGTCTCACAGACACTAAGCAGGCCACCACAATACTTTGGTATTTTCCACTGGTGTCCCCGAGACCCCCACATGCACACACTCTCTCGGACTCGCAGGTTCCAAGAGCTACTAAATAAGGACCCTGGAAACTTGTTGTTGTTAAGGGCCTCAGCCTGTATACGGTTTCCGAGGAGCAGCTGGTTGAGACTGAACCACCAACCCTGCAGTTCAAACTGACCTTGTGGTTCAGTACCTATGCTACAGCGCCACACCAGGACTCCTGACAAGGCCTTTAAACATCATGGGTCTGTGGGAAACAAGTAGCTTCCTGCCTCCCTTTGACCACGCTGATGGAATCTTCAGACTTGAAGATGAAGTAGCCAGCCTCCGAGGGTGCCAGGGCGACAGGTAGGGCTCAGCAGTCTCTCCGTTTCCAGGTCTTCCACTTCCAGAATGTTCTATTTCCCGGAGACAGCATGTCTGCTCAAAATCCTTGGCAAGGAGGGTGTGAGCTGCTGGCGTGGGCAAGAGCATGAGCTGCACTTTCAAGAGAACCGAGGAAAGGCTCATGGCCCACGGACCTTTTCTGAGCCTTATACCATACAGACAATGAGGGGCATTGTCTTGATCAAACCCCTTCCTTTCCTAGACATCCCACGTGTGACCCAAGACTCTGAGCTCAGACGACTATGACAACCAGAACCAGAAGGAGCGTCGTGGCCAAGCCCTGTGTCCGTGGAAGCAGATGGCACGCCCGTCCGGGGGACTCAGAAACAAACTGGCAAGGTGGCCTCACCCGCTTCCTTGAAAGCGCCAATCCCAGTGCGCTTTACTGTTGGCTGTGGATCAGTTACAAGGGTTTATGCGGTTTGAGAGTTATGGACTACTGATAATTATGAAGAAAATTCAATCCAGAAAGGTTTTTGTTTTTAAACCTTTGGGCCTTCTGGTCACTGGAAATAAAATGTTCAGCTTTGACTTCTCGACACATTTTTTCCTGAAGGAGTGAGACAGAATTTCCGAGAAAAGTTGAAGGTACAATGTGAACGAAGCACTGGGACCGCCGGTGGCCTGGCCGTGGGGATCCTGAAATGGAACCATGTTGACTGGACTTGGGTTTTAAATGTCAATCTAACCATGTGCCAGAAATGATGCCTTTTCCACCAAACAGGATTCATGGTGCCAACCCCCAGTGACACAAAGGAATGTTCCAGTTTTCCAAAGCTTTATATTTGAACAATGGGGCAGTCTTTCTGGGAAGGGCATCTGGAAGTGCTCTGGGCTAGAAGACCAGCAAAACTCAGACACCAAAGCTCACACACCTACCAAGCAGGAGGCACATGGGCAGCTGATGGCTGGCCTCCAGAGGGCACCAGTGAGCATTCCAGGTGCCAGAGCCTTTCTCTAAAAGGGGGCAGCAGCTTCTGCCCCTGCTGTGCTGTTTCCTGCTCCATGAGGTGGTCCCATTAGACACAGTGCCGTGACAAGATCTGCCAACAGCCCGACAAACGCAGGGGCTGAGCCTTTACAATGCCCTTAGCACTGAATGAGGACCCCAAGCCTCAGGAAGGAGTGTCCACAAAGCTGACGCTGGAGGGTCTCGGCTAGAATGCCTGGGGTCATCCGTCAGTGGCAGTCCAGCCAGAGAGGGGAGAGGGAATGGAGGAGACTGCAGAGTCCTGGGAAAGATCCCTCCAGAAGGCTCCGAGGGGGCCTTCATCTCACGGAGCCCTCTGCAGGGCCCTCCCTGAGCACGGGAACCCAGGCTTTCTGCAGGGCCTGGGCCTGGGTGAGGAGGAGACCCACAGCTGTGGCTCCTCAGATCACACTGCCTTCCACAGTGCCCTCAGCAGAGCGTACACATCACTGCACCACCAACAGGCCATGGACAACTCTCTCCTTCCCAGATTCCAGCATGCAGACCTGAGGTCAACAGCAGCAGAGGACAGGTGGCGTGCTGGTTGGCGTCAGTTCCCCTTCTCAGCATACAGGCTGACTCTCGGGTGAAGGAGTGCAGCCCAGTGGTCAGGAGCAGCAGGCCTGGGCTCTGCATCAGAGGCCTCCAGACAAACCAGCAGTGAGACCTCTTCAAATACCTAACCAGTGGAAGACATGACACATCGAACCCCAAGAGAGCCAACGGCACCAAAGACATGGGTGTGACCTGACACATCACACACCAACCAGCAGCTCCAGAGAGGAGGGCCAGGCTCCGGAGCAGGTGGTGCCCGGACCTCAGGATCCTGTGCTCAACTGCAAAAGAAACACGTCCCAGAGCAGGAGAAGGGCAAGTGGGTCAGAACATGCACTTTTCCTTCTTCTGCCCAAGAAGCTGTGGAGAGGGCTGCTGACCAACAAGCACATGACCCAGGGGAGGCGGACAGACTAACGGCGAGGCTGACTCCCAGACAGAAGCAGACACTCTGTGAGAACATCGGACCCACATAACCCCCCGCCCCCGAAGGTATGAGCAACACCTCAGACATGCACAAGACATCCAGCTCCCATCGCTCCAGACCAGACAAGTTCAGCAGAAACCTGTCTCATAATTAAAGCAATAAGAGCTTCAGAGAACCAAAGAGCCTTTCTACAAATGCCCTTCTACATGAAAGACAAAAAGACCTTCTCTGAAATAAAGTAACAAATCTGCAAACTGCATACTAGGAGGAAGTTAAATCACTTCTTGATCAAATACTTCAATTTTCTGAGGGTCAATAGCAGCTTTGAAGGAAGAGAAGGCAGTTTCCCTATCCACATGTCTTACTGAGACATCAAGTAGAAAGAAAAACTTAAAAGGAATTATGTTTATAAAACTGTTACAAGTGTTAGTAGGAAACCTCTGGTTCGTTACAATTGTTTCACAGCTGTGGCGATTATGTGACAGAATCTATTCGGACTCACAGGGTTTCCGAGGATGTAAGTCTTTATGGAAGCAGAAAGCCTCATGTTCTCCCAACCAACAGATGGGAGTTTCGAACTGCTGACCTGGAAATCCACAGCCCGAGTCATTACCACTACGCTACCAGACCTCCTTCAAAGCTACAGAAACCCACAAAAGCTTTTTTTAAAAAAAACAAAGAGCATTTTAGAAATGAAAAGCTGAAGCTGTTAGAAATCAGACACGTACTTGTTTTCCGAGATAACACATCTGCTCAGGTAATGAAAACAAACAGGCCCGAGGTACCTGGGCTGGGAGCTGCCGTAGGAGAGATCAGATCCCCCGCTCCACAGACACCATTTGGACAAGGAGAACCTATCAGGAGGTGGCTGCACTCAGCAGAGCTGAGCTGGCCCCAGGCTGTTAGCAGCCAAGACAGTGCTCCGTAGTTGGAATCAACTCGATGGCACTTCACACCAACAGCAAGGAGCCCTTGCAACGTGGTGGATTACGACTTAAGTCTCTGAACCACGAGGTCAGCAGTTCAAATCTACCAGCCTCTCCATGGGAGAAAGATAAGCCTATCTGCTCCTGTAAGGATGTGCAGCCTCGGAAACTCTATATATGGTCACTATGAGTCAGAATTGACTGGACAGTACACCACCATCAATGCCACCACCTCGTGCGGGACACCACCAACAGTGCCACCAGCTCATACTGGACAGTACACCACCAATGCCATCACCTCGTACCATAGGAGCTTCATGGTGTGGCTCTAGTCTACCGATGCAGTCTTTTAATTTGTTAAAACCCAGAGAATCTAACTACTGTGGACTCCAGGCCGTGCCCAGGTACACACAAGACGGGTCGGTCAGCTGGGTCTGGAGCAGGCACACAGAGTTCTCCTGTGGCTCGGCTTGAGTGCAGGGCAAGGCTCAATGTCTTCTCCCTGATTTGATAGGTGGTGTACAGCAATGGAAGGCGACTGTGATGACAAGTTCGTTGTCGTTAAGTGCCATGAATCATTTCCAACGCTGTTCACAGCGACCATGTACAGGACTGGTGGATTTGAACCGCAGACCCTGCAGTTAGCAGTCCAGTGCTTGTTAATGGTTAGTTGAATATCATTCTGAGTGCAGGCCAATTTACCTAGCATTAAAGGGTAAGTACAGCTGGGCTCTCTGCAATGCTGAGACCTGGGGCCTTCCTGGGAAGAGATGAAAGGCCAGTGTGGAGATAGACAGCGCACTCTGACTGTCCCCCTTGTCTACACACAGAGGACGCCAGAGCAGAATCAGAGCGAGGTCAGTGAGGCGTGGGCAGGCTCATGTGGGTGCCTTTATTGCTTGGTTTTGGAGCACCCACCACTGTGCCACACCTACGAGGAGGCTACCCATCGGTGTGTCTGGGACAGCCTGGTTCCTAACCGGGACATGGACATGGTGGCCCCCACAGCCTGGAAACACGTCCCCAGCTAAGCAAGACATTCTGCTGTGGGAGGAGCATGGGCAGCGGTCAGGAAGCGTGGACTCGAACGAGCAGGTGGTGCCATTCTCCAGAGAGCCCCACGAGAACCAGGAGGCTAAAAGGCCCAGGGCAGGTCCCCGGCACCTCCTCATCCTCACTGTCCTGAGATGAGGAAACTAGATCCTGACACTCAAAACACCCCTGAAGCTTGACGAGGGCCACATGTCCCTATGACCTAAGGAACACGCTTCTCCACACGCTCCCTCCATAGGCCGACACCTGGGTCCTGTTGGTAAGTGCCACTGAGTCAGTTCCAACTCATAGCGACCCTGTACGGGGTTCCCAGGGAGCAACTGGTGGGTTTGAACTGCCGACCTTGGGGTTCGCAGTCCAGTGCTGATCCTACAATGCCATGCCAGGAGTCCAGGCCTATACTTGTTGTTGTTGTTGTTAAGTGCCGTTGAGTCGGTTCCGACCCATAGCGACCCTGTACAGGGTTTCCGAGGGTGTAAATCTTTACAGGAGTAGAAAGCCTCATCTTTCTCCCGCGGAGCAGCTGGTAGTTTTGAACCGCTGACCTTAAGGTTCGCAGCCCGATTCGTAACCACTACGCTACCAGAGCTCCCTATACTAGGGACCCCAAAATCACGTTGCTCCAAAGGCCCACCCATACCTGTCATTACACAGCTCTGTCCCCAGGTCCTCCCCTGGTCACGGACCATGAAAGGCAGAGCTGACAGATACAGCATTGTCCATACTTGTTTGTAACCGGGGGCAGAGGAGGGTGGCGATACTGCACCCAAAGCCTCAGCCTGAGCCAGTCCCCAAAGTTGGACGCAACCCTCCTGACATAGTAGCAGGTCAGTGCTTCCTGAGACGTCTTCCCAGCCACAACTAACCTTCTTAGGAAACAAATGATTCTGTCAGTATGTAAACTATCGCCTCTCGCTAATGTCTGCCTCAAAATCTTTATGGCTAAAAGAAATCAATAAAGAAACGTGTGTGAAAAGTCTGACATTAGTGAAGTGAAATTTACAAAAACTGCCTGGGAAGAGAAAACAGCAAGTTCCCGGCCACAGAAGGAAAAGCAAAGAGAAGACACTACCGTACATCTGATGGAGCGGCGGCCCGGCTGCTCCCACACGGCGGGCATCCCAAAGGACAGTGTGCCATGACACCGGGCGACCAGGACTGACTGTGGTCCTGGCTTCCTGTCAGCTCAACTACAGGTACCGCTTGGCTCAGGCAAAGACCACCATGACGACTGGTCTCTGCAGAGCCGCAGGCTGACCTAGGTGGGGTAGGCGGTGCTCTCCACTCACCCGTTACACAGACAAGAGCAGCGGGCGGCGTGGCGGGCAACCTTACCATCGCACTTTGTTGCAGGTCTGCGTGGCCCCGAGTGGGGAGCCAGCCACCATGGGGACTTGGATGGGGCTGTGCTGCTTGTTGGTGACCAGGTCCAGCTTCTCCTCAAGCGACTTACACGTGGCCTCAAGTGCCTGTAGCTTGGCTTCAATGTTGTCCAATCGCAGGCAGATGGTCTGGTTGATGGTGTAGAGGAAGGACTGCAAGTGAAGAGAAGAAACACTTGAGCGCGGGCACCTGGTACCGGCCAAGCAGTGCCTCATCTCTGCCTGCGGTCCAGGCCGCTTCCCAGTCACACGCCAAAACCAGGCAGCCCTTTCTCCTCACACCTGGCCACTTAGTCATGGCTCTGCCCATCTGGGGAGCTGTGATGGTCAACTGTGCTTTAATCCATGTAATATGTAAACCGACACATTAACAGGCAAACCCTAACATCCCAGCTCCTGGAAAGTAGATGAAGCGTCTGGGAGCTTCTAGAATAGCAAGTCTGCCACCTAGTGGCCGCACTGAACCATACTTGGGTTTGACAATTGGATCAATTCGCTCCGATGATGCCAAGTGATGGGAAAGTCCTTACTGTTCCTACTGCCACATGTCGATGGGAATGCAGGTGGAAATGCGCCAACCCAGGACGAATCCTAGAGTACAGCAGGGACTCCCAGGCCCAGGAGCACCCTCTCGCCTACTTTAGCAGCAGCAGGTGACATCTGAGGACACGCCCCGTCCTACCCTTCGCCCTTGCCACCTTCCACTAGCAGGGTAAGCAGAGCTATCTGAGGGAGTCACCAAAGGAAGAAAGGCCTGCGTTCGCACCTGCACACCTTTCATGTCTATGAATCACAGAAAACCGGTACCTAGGCGGGGGCAGGGGGCGGAGCAGGCTGCCCTCAGCGAGTGGGTTCCCAGCACTGAGGACATAGGACACGTGTGTTACCTTGTGGCACAGGTGGCAGAGGGAGCCAGCAGTGAGGTAACGAAAATCAAACGTCCACCTCTGCCACAGTGGCGCCCTCGCCGCAGCATTAAAAAGAGGAAAACCATCCCGTGAGCTCGAGTTGGGTTCCAGTGCTGACGCTGGACCATCTCTAATGGACAGAAAGGCTGATTCGAGGCTTCGGCCTGGGAGGAGTCATCTGGAGAACACTTACTGCTGACTGACTTCTTGAGCCAGAACTACTTTAAACCCCACCATCTTTTAAAGTCTGGACACACCAAACATTGGGCTCCTGACTTCTTTACCCACAATAAAGCTGCATTATTTTAATTCTGAATGAGAAATGAGTCTGTCTGGGATTTGGGTGAAAATCACTATTACATGTTAATTAAACAAATGGAGGAACAGTATTTTTAAAATAAGCTTTTTACATACAAGGGGTAGTAACCATAAACCCTCAAATCTGCTCATCAAAGAGCTCTCCACAGGGTGGCAGAAGCTTTCCTTAAACAGCCCAAGTGCTCGGACCTCTGCGGCAGTACTGAAACCGCAGGCCGACGCCGACACTGCTGCCGCGAGTTGTTTACTCCGTACGCTTCTGCACAGTTTAAACTTTGGGGATAAGATTACATTAGCACCTCATCTAAACATCACACCGAGTTGCTATGATTGGAATCAACATGACAGCAGAGAGGGCAGCCACCTTCTCCTAATCGGGCCAGTTTTAGGGTATGCCTGCTTCTCCGCATTAATAAAACGAGCTGGGCATTTCTAAACAGACATGCTCTGTGAACTGGGGAGCCCCGGGTGGCTGCTAACCAAAAGGCTGGCTGTTGGGGCCCTAGAGGCATGCCGTCACATGAAGGGTGACTTGGATTCTCACTCACTGCTTTCTTCAGTTTCGCCAATGTGTGGATACTGCTCTCTGACTCTGCAGACACAGGGACCACACAAGTAAACTCAAGAACGCTGAGCTAATGGAGAGATGGACTCAGGTTTCCATTGTTGGTCTTGTAAATGCTAAAACAAAGGGAGTGCCTCGTGGGAGGTATTAGCCTCACTGGGCAGCAGCCTCGGGCTACATGATGTCCAGTCCCCACCGACCACGACGGAAACCCAGCCCCATCTTTACCTTTATGGAGGGGTCCTGACAATTGATCTCCAGTCGCTGGCGTTTCAAAGCAGGCTCTTCCTCATCTGTCACAACATGATTCTCCAAGACAACTAGAAGGGGTGACACAGACCGAGTTAGTGCTCGGCTGAAAGGGTGGACACAGTCTTCGTGGCAAGCTTCTGACCAGAACTGACGTCTGCAGGTCCCGTCTCTAAACAGCGCGACCGATTTCACTCACGGCCTTTTCACAGATTGAATTTAAAATGTTGCGATCCCTCCTTAATCCCAGGAAGAGCTGGGATAGAGGATCCACGATTTCCCTGGTGTGCAAGGGCTTATCCCAAAGTCTCCGTGAGGCCTCGAGTCTGATACAATGCATAGGCCCCTGCAGGGACGGCTGTGTGAGGAAGCCACCTGAACCATCGGGACACAAAACCACCGTCTGAGAACTGTTTCCTTACACACTGACCATCATCACAGTCCCCCTCTCACTGCACAGCTGCGGTCAGGTGCACTCACGCCAGTCACCAGCACCTTCACCTGGCACAGTTCAGCCACTCAGATGGCCGCATCTCCTTCTGGTCAGCTAAAACCACATACAACAGCAAAATAACCACAGGATCTGAAACCGAGATGATGGTCCACCATCCCACGAGGGATGCAAATGGCCTTTCTGTCTGGGACACTATCTAATTCTCTCTCCAGAATGACTCAGATGTTCCCTGTACACACTCACAACCATGATGGAACATGACAGTTCCCTTTCTATTGAACACTATAGCCCACATGGTCTTTCTTGTCTCCTAGTCTGTGGTCATCTCCGCTGTCTGGTGAGGGGTCTCTTATGGACATTCTTGTCCGTGTAGATAAGTGTGTTACAAATCAATGGGAGGGGCAATTGCATGTGATTAGCATATTTCTTACGTGTTTCCTCTTCTTTTAGCAACACGCCACAGACATGCAGGTCAGAGCTTCGCTGTCGTTGTGAGATGTCATGGAGTCAGTTCTAAATCACAAAGTCCTAGGCAAGGACAGGAGGCTCTCATCCGCCCAGAGGCTAACTATCCCTAACCCTACCAGGCAGAAACCAGGCAAGAACCAAAAGGGACAGGGAGCTCACTGCTGTCAACCAGGCCACAGAAGTCGAGAGGACCCCTGCTCGGGAGCTGATCTAAAGCCTGTCTGAGACACCTGAATGGGAGAATGGAGAGAGACCCCCACAATCAGCCTTCCAGCCCTTCCATTTGCTGAAAAGAAAATAAGGCCAGAGAGGTTAAGTGCGTGTTGGGGTCACACAGCTCATGCTTTGCAACTACAGAAACAAGAATCCACACCCTTGCCAACTACCGGTGGTTGGAGGCTGTAAGCCCTGAGCACTAGAGTGGACACATGGAGGCCTCACAGTGGGGCAGGCAGTAAGGCTCTCAGGAGGTGGACGGCAGGGGCAGCTGTGTGCTCTGCTCTGCGGCACTATGTACATGTGCCCAGCACAGTTAGAACTGGACCCTAGAACTCCGACCTGCCCATGGGGGAACCAACACACAGAGAGAGGTGTGGTGAACAGACAGGTGTGGTTGGCATGCACCCGTGCTAGGAAGAACTCAAGAACGTTTTCTTTTCAGTGGAGACAAGAGCAATCCCAAGGGCCCAGCAGCTCCTGGAGAGCAGTTCTCGAAGATTCTAGGAAACGCCGGCTTTTACTTCTACTTGTTCTACTATATTTTAAAACATACGCATAAAAAAAATTTTTTTTTAAACATACAGTTTCAAATTTGCCAAATTTGCATTTTAGAAATGGGGGAGAAGTCCACAACAGAGGCACATGAGTCTGCCGTCCCGTGGTAGGTGCTGGGTGTGAGCACGTTCTCCAGGGTCTGAGCGTGCGTGCGGCCTCGTCATCTCCGAGGGCCTCAGAGGGTTCTGACTAAACACTCAGTCCACTGTCATGTCCGGAGGAGGAACACAATGAAGAACAGAAGTGATTTCCCCACGTTTTCTAAACTGTAGTCTACAGAGAGAGAATTTGTTTACAAAGTAAACTATCGCAACTTTAATTGCTTTAAAAATGCTTAAAATTTATGGGCCTGGGACATTTTCGCTCCAACACGACTGAGTGTGTTTTTTAAAGGTGTCTACACCCCAAAACACTAACAGGGAATTTAAAAACTGTTATGTGCAGCGGTTACCCTTCTTAGAAACAGCTCAAAGAGCAAACTAAGCTTCAGAGAGTCAAAAATCAGCATTCCTGAACCGTCAGCGTCTACGTCTTTGTTGACGGCTCGTTTAACGCCAAAAGGATTCCTAATAGTCTTGCCTCCCAAACCACAACTCTTTCCCACACAACGTTCTTACAGGTAACAGACCAGACAGAACATATAAAATAGAAACCATGCTCCCATGAGATTTCTGAAAATGCTCTCTTTTCTGTGGAGGATTTTTGATACTAACATTACAGAAGGAATAACCAAACAGCCAAACGTACAGGACTTAATCGTGAGAGCTTATCTAACATACATGAAACTTTGTAGTGAAAAGAGAGAAAACAGAGAGGAAGAAACCTTGTTTTCAAATAACAAGAGGAGACAAAGTTTCTAAAACCTAGAGTGTCCTTTCTAAAGGATTTCCTTAAAGCAAATATTCAGTTGTAGTTTCAAAGCCCATTTAGGCTTGGAACGTCACTAAAAGAAAATAACCAGCCTCGGAAAAAGTGTAGGGAAAACATGTCGGAGAGAAAATTAATAAAAATGTGTCTGAAAACATCTGTCATTGTCTTATCAGCACTTGATCTCATGCTGCAGTTCTCTGGGAACTTACCCGGCAACAGCGACGACAATAACAAAAATATACAAATAACATAAGTGACCATTTAAAAGTAACCCAAAATCCAAACAAAGCCGCCAAAACCTGCTGCTCTCTCATCGGTTCTGACTCATTGGGACCCTGCCAGACAGAGAGCAGCCCACAGGGTTCTCCAAGGCTGCAAGTCATTACAGAAGGGCACTGCCTCCGCTGACCTCCGCTGACCGGCTCTTGGGTTCAAACCACTGACCACAGCCTGACGCTTAGCCCACTGCACCAGGGCTCCTTGTCTGAAAGTAAAGAGCTCAACACTTTAAAGGGACAACTCCACTTGGAGCACTGACGACAGGTTTGGAAGCTGTGAGGGCTGCTGTATGGAGGAAAGCAGGCTCCCAGGCAGACAAGGGAAGAGGGAGCAGGGGCTCAGGTCTGGACACTCCTCAGGGGGCTCCATCCTGGGGGACGGAGCTCAGGCTGGGTGGCATGAGGGTACAAGGCTGCAGGTTTGGAGCTGCTCACCTTGCACACGCATCGTTCATTCTTTCTTTGCTTCATTTAAAGAAAAGAAAAAGATGGAAGCACTTTTGATTTTTCAGCGAATCAAGAGAATCACACATCACCTGCTGCGGCAAAGCTCTGTACCTGGGTGATCAGGGCTCAAGTCTTCAACGGCGATCTGAACCACATCCGCCAGGTCCTGTTCTGACATCATCCAGAATGCGCGGAGAGAGGCGGGTCCACAGACAGGAGGCAGCCTCTCGGCCAGGCCGGGCGTCTGTCACCTACAAGAGCCGAGAAGCAGGACAGTGAGCAGGTTGTGCCGTGTGTGATGGTAGAAGCGGCCAACCACACGTACAGTGAGGATGTACCACAAGTCCAGGTCAACGCTGGACAGTCCTCATCCTTCAAGCTCAGCAACTGCTCCAGGGAGGTCAGGCAGAACCCGCCAGGCCTGACCAGGGTCATGAAATCACAGAATCACACACGACCCCCAGCTGAGTGGGGCCCACAGCAAAGCCGCAGACTCTGTAGTTTGCCGTGGCATTCCCAAGTGAAGACCCAAAGCAAAGGTGACGAGCAGGTAGACTCAACATCTTGACAGAGGCAACTGACCTTCAGCTGAGGGACTTAAAACATCTGGGTTGCAGATTGCTTTGAGGGTCTTCTAAACCACTTAGGGCCCTTCCAGAGTACAAGTGCTGGAGGCCTTGCAGACAGAGAGATGTCTGACCCCCTGTTCAGCAGGGACAGACTGCACCTTACCTTCTGTTCATTTTGAGATCCACGACATACAGGGGGACAGACTGCACCCTGTCTCTCACATTCATTGTGGGAGCCACGACGTACAGGGACAGACTGCACCCTGTCTCTCACATTCACTGTGGGAGCCACGACGTACAGGGACAGACTGCACCCCAGTCTCTCTCGCAGCAGTGTGGCCCCAGGTCTAAGGTCCAGCCTAGGAGACAGACACAAGCGGTGCAGAGAGGCTTCCAGAAACCTACCAAAAGAGGACGGGCCTGCAAAGTCACGGGTGAGGGAAGTTCAGGTCCATCAGCCAAAGCGGAAAGATCCAGAATGCATCAAGAACAGACGGGACTCAAAAAGGCCAGCTGCAGAACAGGGAGGACAGGCTCCCTGCCTTCCACGTGTCGCTGAGCACGCGTGCACGTATGCCGTGTGAGCACGTGCTCAGCTGCAGAGACCACGCACTAGAAAGTGAATTCCCAAGCGGTGGAGTGCTGGTGAAGGGAAGGATCACCAACACAAGATGACACTCACTCGTTACTCTATCTTTCAGAGCTCTGACCTCCTGTAAGCATGTACTATGTACTGTGCAAGGAGCCCTGGGAGCATGGTGGCTCCGAGCTGGGCTGCTAACCGCAGTGTCAGCAGTTCAAATCCACCAGACGCTCCATGGGAAAACGGTAAGACATTCTGCCCCTGTAAAGATGGACTGCCTCAGAAGTCCTATACAGGGCTACTGGGAGTTGGAACCAGACTTTTCCCTCCACAAGTCCAGTCCTTCCTCCCTGCAGGCACTGAGGCTGCTAAGGATACATGGGCCACTGTCTAGCTCCCACCCTCCTCTAGGCCACCCTGCAGCTGCCCCAGCACCCCCACCTCGCTCCCTCAGGAACCCCCGGGTCAGGCCCACCTTCCTCTCAGGCCCTACACCTCTGCCCGGACTGGGAGTATGAGGGCGCCCATGCTTCCCAGAGACAGGCTGACAATGGGGTCTCTAGACCAGGTCCACACATGGCCGGGGTCTCATCTGCTTCCATGTGTCCACCTGAACTCCAGACACACACACCCTAGCCCGCCCCATCTCCAGCACCGCCGTCCTGGTCCGCCCCTTGACTCGGTAGTGGACATCCACAGGCCTCTCTGTGCAATATGAGAGAGATGACCTCCTGGACTGTGGCACAGTTGGCATCTCACAGAAGATGCAGGGGATGAAGGGCTGTGGGGGTCCCCACAGTGGCCCTGCCTCTCCACGGGCCGCTGCAGACCACTCCCAATGCCAGGGGAACTGGGACAGTGATTGTCATTCCCATGCAGAGGGCTAAAAGTGCAGTCTCCAGAAACAAGGAAACCAAAGAGAAATTATGGAGCAGCCCATTTTGTCAAATCCGTCTTTTTTGGATATAAACATGGCAATAAAAAAATCCAGTGAAAATCTGGAGGAAGTACACAAAGCAATCGATTTTTATTAAACTAAGCTGTGAGAAAGGCTGGGGACCGGGACTTTGCTTGTGTCCACAGCCCTGTTGAGTTGGGGGGTGGGGGGGGACAGGATGCTGCTCTCAGTGACCCATTGGGAAGAAGCAGGGAAACTTCCCGTGGTTCGTAGGAAAGTTCAGGCAGTGTTATACTTAAAGGTTCAGAAAACAACGTCAGGACAGTCTTTCCCCTAACGGTTAGCATATTTGACTGAAGAGAGGACATCTGCCTTCCAAAGTGTGGAAATCTCAAATATCTCCCACAAACCCAGGAAAGAGAGAGTGTCCCCATGGTGTCTGCAAGCTCCACAAGCCACTGGCAGCCCCAACTGGAGTGGGATTTCATCCCTCTAGACAGCTTTCCAGAGACACAAAAATGCTCAAGGTTTCTGAGAGTTTTTGTAAATAAATTTAAAATCATTAGAAGCAGCCTAAATACTTGCTGCCGGGAGGATTCAAACGTTTCAGTGATTGATAAAAATCATATTAACGCACACAATTTCTAGGAAATGTCTTGAAAAGAGAGAGTACTTTAAATAGGAGACCTATGGCTTTGGGTTTTAGGCGGAGGGGGGGGGGGTCCTTTCCCTCTCGGAAACTGAAATAGTGAGCTTCCTGCCAAAAGCTTGTGTCTATGTGGTTGTTTTCATCGATATTTGTTGTTGTTGTTAAGTGCTGGCAAGGGTTTCTGAGGAGCAGCTGGTGAGTCTGAACTGCTGACCTTGCGGTTCTAACTGACTTTGCGGCCCAGTGCTACACCAGCATCCTGAAATCAGAACATGGAATGCTTGAGTATTTATTGCTTTATTTAAAATGTACAAAAACAACCCATAACATGTTGACATACAAAACAGTTTTTATGAAAAATAACTGGCTCTTCTAAAACAATAAAACCTCCGTGACAAGACTTGGCGCTGGTTCTTCACGTTTCCATCATGACTGAGCCAGCAAGACCAGAATGGACCCGAATTTGTAAACTCTAAGTGAACTGGAATGGGAAAAATGCAGGTCAATGCCCTGCTAGAAATTCAATTATAGCAACCAAACCTCTTGACGAACAGAGTCAGAAACAGCGGTGCCCGGCTCCCAGAAGACAGCCAACTGTGCCACTCTGAATGTGTGTCATTGTCCACGTCCCTGAGACTAGCTGTGTTTCTTTAGTAAACACCTAACCAGTTAGTTATTCCTTAATGATGTCCATGACAGGGGTGGCTAGTGTAGCTAGGAACCCCAATAACTGCAGCAGGCTTTGTCCCCAGACAACCATTCAGCCTGGAAACACAGAAGTACCTTCCATTCATCACCGGGGACACCAAAACCAGGTAGCATGACACGGACAATTTCTACTATTTCATCAATGATATTCTGCAGTGAAACTGCTTTGGTTTCTTATTCTGATTGTGCGCCCAGGGCAGTGAAGAAGAAAGACAATGCCTATCTTAGGCTGTAGAATAAGCACCAGGCTGTAAGGTTGGTTTGAACCGTTACAAAGTAGCTGGTTCAAACCCACCAGCCGCTCCTTGGGTGGCCGAGTCAGACCTGACTCAATGACACTTAACAGCAACAAATCCGTCTTGGAGGATCGAGGACAGTATCCCAAAACCTGTGTGGGACAGACCTGAAGGCAGTTGGGAGGGGACATAGATGGCACACAGCCATCAGTACAAGTCAACTGGCCGGGAATCTTAGGAAGTCAGTGACATTAACAAAGTGGCAGAGGCTCTCTCAATTCACAGAGGCTTCAGGACACAAGCCAGGTGCAAGGGAGCCTGGGCCAGGGCAGATGTGGACAGTCGTCTCTGGCTTACCCAAATCAAAACAAACCCACTGTCCCTGAGTTTATTCCAACTCATAGCGAGTCTATAGGACAGACAGCTGTTCCATAGGGCCTCCAAGGCTATACATGTTCACACACCTCGCTCCTGCAGAGCGGCTGTGGGGTTTGAACAGCGGACCTTGCAGATAGCTGCCCAACATTTACCCACCACACCACCGGGTCTCCGTGGTTGTGTAAGAGGTTGTCCTGGAACTCAAGCTTTCAGGGGGACAATAAGGATCTCTGTAACTTACTTTCAAAAGCAGCCACAGAAGAGGAATACTCATACCTACAAAACCTAGTCAAATACCTACTAACCACCGGTGGATCTACACAAAGGCTACATGCCTGTGTTCAGCGTTCTCCTCCTATAACTTTTCTCTAGGTTCAAACTGTTTTTAGAATGACAGAGAGGAGGTGGGGTGGCCCCGAAGCACTGATCCAGTAAAACCCAGTGGGTGAAGACCTGTGTCAGTGACCCAGGAAGGCACACGATGTGAACACAATGTGACCGACCGCAGAAATGGGGAACCGGGAACTCCCGGGCCTGGTTTTGCCTGGCCTTACCTGCATATCTCAAAGGCTTGCAAAACAGAAGGTTTTATGATTTTAAGAAATTTTTCAACAAACACACAAACCTAACAAAAGCCTCCGGATTCACCCCGCCTGTTGAGATGCTGTTGGTTTGAAGCATTAGTACAGCAGTGGCAGCGGGTCTCCTGTGTCCTGCACAGATGAAATCTCTACCTGACCCGCTACAGAAAACCTTGGCCGACCCGTCCTGGGCACCTGGACCTCACCAAAGCCTGCCACCTGGCCTGTGAGGCCAGCCCTCAGCGTTTCCCAGAGTGCTCTACCACTCCATTCTCTGTTCTGAGTAGAGACCTGCCCAGCGCCTCCTCTGGGCCTCTGCTCCCAAGCTGCAAACCACCACCAGATGCCAAAAGCAGACAAAGTGTGCGTCGTTTCACCCAAGCGCACTTCTAGTTTGAAGAAGGTTACATATGGCATCTACTCCCAGAGACCACACACAGCATCCTGCGCACCCCAGCAGGCTGCTCTGTACTGGGAGTCCTTGCTACAGCACTGTCCACAGGCCACAAGGACTACTCTGTGGTCCCCAGCGTGGACATCCCACCCACAGCCCTTCCGTGTCTGTGCAATGTCTCACAC